AAATTCATACGGGGCAACAAAAGACCCCGAATTGCTAAAGCAATCCTGAGAAAGAAGAACAAAGCTGGAGGCATCACAATCCCTGACTTCGAAGCAGACTACAAGCTACAGTAATCAGAACAGCATGGTACTGGTACAAAAACCGGTGCATGGATCAATGGAACAGAATTGAAAGCCCAGAAATAAAACCACACATCAAGGACAGCTAATCTTCGACAAAGGAGCTGAGGGCCTACAATGGAGAAAAGAAAGTCTCTTCAACAAATGGTGCTGGGAAAACTGCACAGCCACATGTAAAAGAATGAAAATTGACCATTCTTTTTCACCATTCACAAAAATAAACTCAAAATAGATCAAAGACCTAAAGATTAGGCCTGAAACAATAAGTTTTCTAGAAGAGAATATAGGCAGTACACTCTTTGACATCAGTTTCAAAAGAATCTTTTTGGACACCATAACTCCTCAGATAAGGGAAACAATAGAAAGAATAAACAAATGGGACTTCATCAAACTAAAGAGCTTCTTCAAGGCAAGGGAAAACAGGATTGAAACCAAAAAGCAACCCACTAATTGGGAAAAAATATTTACAAGTTATTTATCCGACAAACGGTTAATCTCCATAATATATAAAGAACTCACACAGCTCAACAACAAAAAATCAAACAACTTGATCAAAAAATGGGCAGGGGACATGAACAGACATTTCTCCAAAGAAGATATACGAATGGCCAATAGACACATGAAAAGATGCTCACCATCACTAATCATCAGGGAAATGCAAATCAAAACTACATTAAGATATCACCTTACACCTGTTAGAAACGCAAAAATAACCAAAACAAAAAGTGACAAATGTTGGAGAGGTTGTGGAGAAAAAGGAACCCTCATACACTGTTGGTGGGAATGCAAACTGGTGCAGCCACTATGGAAAACAGTATGGAGATTTCTCAAAAAATTAAAAATAGAAATACCTTATGACCCAGCCATCCCACTACTGGGTATGTATCCAAAGAACTTGAAATCAGCAATTCCAAAAGTCCCATGTGCCGGGAGCTGTGGCTACATCATTTGATTGGCTGTTCGACAGGGTCCAGCCGATTAACGCTGAGGGGTGCAGGGTCGCCCCTTGGTGAAGAATAACCGGCCGGCCCCTCACATAGTTCTGAAACCTGTGCTGCTTTTAATTGCCCTTCATTCCTTTTCCTTTCTTAACCTCTAGTTTTCACTCCTTTGGGTGGCTGCTTGGGAGGCACTACCTCCTGGGAGAATTAGCTGTACTAAGAGAATGTGACCACCTGCAGGTAACTTTCAAGATATTTTTCAGTTAATTATTGGAGGAGCACACAGTCCCATTTGAGACAATCAGAAAGGAATCCTGCCCAGATAAGATGTCGAATTAGGTTTATGGCCTCCATCTGGTTAATGTTTCCTTCTCCCTCCAGTTCTTTGTCTAAATATATATGCATCGTCCTTCTAAGTTTGCTGGTTAATTGGATGATCAAGAAGTATCTATATATTATTCTTGACCTTCTGCTTTCTGCTAAAATGTTATAGAGGTTTTCTCCTAAAAGCAATAAATAATAAACAATTGATGAGTAGAAGGGCCGAGGGGTACAGGGATGCCCCTCGGTGAAGAATGGCCTGCCGACACCCCTGATATTTTCTGAATTACATGCATGCTTTCTATCAAGGTTATGTCTATACTTATTTCTGTTTTTTATTCTTGAAGATATATAGTTTAGCTTAGCTTTTCAGCCCTTTACTTTACTAACAAAATGATACTTTCTCCGGCAGTGTGCTTAAGGGACTGTTAGCTCTACAATCTAAAAGACAAAGGAATGCTTTCACCCCCTAAAGGGCGTGAAAACGTAGAGGTTCAACTGCCCACTGAGAATGCAGATGGCCCTGGGGATAAGACACCCTGGAGTCGCCTTTTGTTCCCATTAACCATCTACACTAATGGCATAAATGATTGAGGGAGGCAGGGATGGCTCCCCCAGGATGTAAACAGATGGACTGCTGTCCTGTCCGGAGGCCTGGACCTTCTCTCTTTGATTTAACTTTACCATGAATTACAACAGGTGTCTAGGTACCTATCTCTTTTTGCTTAGAGACAACAAACACTAGTTAGTTGCGGAGAAGACGATCACTAACCTTATGCTATATAGAATGGAATGCTAATAAATATTCTTGTGCTTATTTTTTACTTCCTTATCTCTCTGAGAATATTTGTAGAACTACTTCTGTACGAATCCTGAAAAATATATAAACGACACTTGTGCACAGTAAAGGTGGACTTGCTAACACCAACCAAAGTCTCACGTCCCCTTTATTTTCCCCACATTGCGCCGACGCCGTCCATCCCTCAGGAACCTGGACTCAGCTGGGGTGGGACCCCGGCACCCATGCACCCCTATGTTCATTGCAGCATTATTTACAATAGCCAAGACGTGGAAGCAACCTAAATACCCATCAACTAATGATTGGATAAAGAAGATATGGTGTATATACACAATGGAATACTACTCAGCCATAAAAAAAGACAAATCGTCCCATTCACAACAACACGGATGGACCTTGAAGGTATTATGTTAAGTGAAATAAGCCAGACAGAGAAAGACGAACTCTGTATGACTCCACTCATAGGCGGAAGTTAAACACAGAGACAGAGAACTGATTGGTGGTTACCAGGGGAAAAGGGGTGTGGGGGAAGGGTACAAAGGGTGAAGTGGTGCACCTACAACATGACTAACAATAATGTACAACTGAAATTTCACAAGGTTGTAAACTATCATAATCCCAATAAAAAGTTTTAAAAAAATTTAAAAATCTACAAAAAAGAAAGTCTATAAAAATAGGGTTCTACATAGATTTCCTTTTTTGTTATTGCTGCTTGCTTTTTGTTTGTATTTAAAATACTCAGTTTCCGTTTTCTCTTCTCTTTCAGCCATTTTACTTTTACTTTCAGCCATTCTATAAAGCATCACAAATAACCCTAATTCATTTCTTCTTCTGATAATCAAACACTTATCATTTTCATAAAATAGGATTGTGAGAATATTTCTCACAGGTTCAGCTAGTGTTATGCTTTTAAATAATCACAAATATTTTTAGTGACCTTGTTAGTTTACTGAAATTAAAACGTACTGTCATACTTTTTGGGCCTAAGGAGTACTACCTGTAGAAGCTACCTGTTTTACATCTTACAGAGCATATTTTCTCCAGGTGCTATATTTTCAACTGTTACCAAATTACCCAGTTGCCTGGATATTCTCTTCACCTCGATGGAAGAAAGCAGCCAAATAACTCTCTCATAATCTCAGGTCCAGAACCCACAAAGAGAGCAATCAGTATTAAGACTCTATGACGACTGGCTCTGCTCTTCGGAGAGCATGTCATCATTACCTTAGCCTTTTCTTTTAAAAAAATTAGATTTATTCCTCCTTTGACCTCCTTTCACCAATAAATAAATAAACAAAACCAAACAAAATTCCAATAAAATATCCAACAAATAAAATTCCACGCCTACCACCAATGAAAGTAATAGAGATGTGGTTAACGCTTACAAAGTCTGCACCAAATGCCTTGGATAAATTTACAAAAGAACTGCGGAATCCTGTAATTTATTGGATTGAAAGGAGTTGCTCCCAGGGCCTGCTAATCCTGGGGTGAGGACTCTCGCCACTTCCGCTGAATCATCAGACCTCAGGGAACAGGGTAACATTGTACCCTAAACAGAAAGGTACAAAGGTGAAAGCAAGTTTAAATAGTTTGACTTGGCCCATTGCTAAAGGGCAGAATCCAGTCAGTTGACAATTTATCCTTTTGCAAAATCAGTTAATCTGAGTTCAGAGGATTTCTTCCAACCGATAGTTCAATTTTCACCACACTTGTTTACTGAGTGATTCTGTCAGTGATTCATTCGACACAGAAGGCACAAGGCCCATTGAACTATGATCTGCAGAGTCTGTGCGGCCAGTGTCAACCTGGCCTTGAACCTGTAAATCCAAATTAACCAAGAGTATTACTTTGGTAATAGGCAACACACTTTTAATTAATATTAACTCATGCTTGTAGCATGAGTACAGAACTAGCGGTTCTCAAGCTGGGCTGCAAATCAAAATTAGGTAGCAGGTTTAGAAAAATACAGGTGCCTAACTTCTCCCGAGAAGGTGATTCAGATGTGCAGTAGGGTTCAAGCAACTGTATTTTTAAAAAGCTTTCCAAGTGATTCGGGTGCATAGAATCGCATCACATAGCCTGCCACACAGATATGATATAAACAACACTACATTATAGAACGGGGGCTGAGTCCATGCTCCTCAAACAGGGACAGAAGAGACTGAGCCAAGGACTACTCAAAGCCACACAAAGAATGGTTTGCGTCTTTCTGGAACGTCAATTTTACTTGACAGATAAGTAGATTAACTAGGTTCAAGATACACTTCTTATCTCTTGCGGTCTAAAGGCTCAACAGTGAATAAAGTACAACAGTGGGCGTGTGCAGCATGGTCTGGGTCCAAGAGCTCAGTTACTCTCGCTTGGGAACCCGGGGTCCTCATCTACAGTAAAATGAGAGTAAAGGACAGACATCCCCTTACATATTTAATTAACGCGTACTACTACGCTTTTCACAGACTGCAAAGCCAAAGCTATGAAAGCATACATCAATACGAGTGGAAGCAAAAGCCTAGAACCCAAGGGACGCGGAAGCATGACAACACGACCCAGAGATGACTTGGCCCAACGACAGTCGCCATCCAGCCCACCGGGCTCCTAGCAGCCTTTGCGGAGCCGGCAGCACCCCGAGAGCGGCGGGGGCGGGGGCGGGGGCGGGGGCGGGGCCCGGGGAGCTCGCCCGCGCCACGCCCCCTCCGCCCCTGCTCTTGGCTCGCCTTCCGCTCCGACTACGCGCAGACACCGATCGCCCTCCGCGGCCCGGAAACGGCTCGGGTGGCGGTCAGACAATGGCGACAGGCCGCTGAGGCTGGCTTTCTTACCTGCTCGGCATAGGCCGCAGCCTATCCTGAGGGCGGGCTGGGTTTAGCCCCGCCTCTCCTCCTGAGTAGAGAAGGGATCCCACAACTGGGCCCTGGCTGTCTTCGGGGTTTCTTTGGCTGGGTGACTCCGTGTCAGCTTGCTCTCCTCGCGCGAGTGCCTCGAACTTTTAGGTGGACGATGTCGGAAAGTAACTCGGCAGAGCGCGGCAACAGAGACGAGGAGCAGGTGCCTGGTGCTAAAGTCATCGCCCAGGCCCTGAAAACGCAAGTACGACTGACCCTCCTAGAGGGAAAGGCGCGGACGGAAGCCGACGCGGGTCTAGACGTTGTCTAGGAGACGCGGAGCGCGGTGCGGGTGGGAGGGAGGTTTGCATGAGGTGTTCCATTCAGCGCCCCGGGAGGGAAGCGAGTGGCGGACGTTTCTCACGCAGTTCTTAGTCCCCAGGGGGTGAAGTACATGTTTGGCGTCGTGGGCATCCCGGTGACCGAAATCGCCTTTGCCGCCCAGGAGCTGGGCATCAGATACGTCGGGATGAGGAATGAGCAAGCGGTGGGTATGGACGCTGGGAGCCGCATGCATTATTGGGAATGATTAATAATAATAGCACCTATTCATTGCAGACAGTTAGCGTTACCAGTATCCCAATACTTTACACGTACCAATCACGACAAACTTATGAGGCAAGAACTATTGTTAATCCTAGTCAATCCTAATTGCTAATCCTACAAAGGGAGGCAGAGAGAGGTTAAGTATCTTGCCCGAGGTGACAGCTGGTATTGGTGGAGCCAGGATTTGAACCCAGGTATTCTGGGTCTGGAGTCCATGCTCTTAACACTATACAGCATTATGCTCTGCCAAGTGTGGAGTTTAAGAATTGGTGAGGACAGTTTCCCAATCTGTATCTGGGCCCCTTGTCCGTCCCTCTCATATGTGTGATGTGTCTGTGTATTGTTTGTCTGGCCTGACTTTCCTATTAGGGTGTGAGCTCTAGGAGGGCAGGGATATTATTTCTTCTTGACACATCTGTATCCCCACTGCCTAGGTAGTGCCTGCACGTGGTAGGTGCTCAGGGAGTACCTGGGAGATGAATGGGTGAAGGCCAAGTCTCATGTTATGTAGTAGGCAGCCCTGCAAGGTGATGGGTATCCCAAATGGTAAAGCCACAACTGGAACTCAGATGTCCTAAATCCCACTCCAGTGCTTGCTCCGACATATCCTGCTGACACCTTTCTTAGAGACTTATGGGGAAGCTTGAGAAAGGGAGATAGAACATTTTGTCCATCCAGTCTTGGTTCCTCCTCTGTCAACCCAGCCTCCTCCTTCTCTCAGCAATGCTAGCTTAGCAGACCAAGAATCCACTCCTGCAGTGCCATATCCTGTCAGTCCATCTAAAGCTACCTGTTCCTGCTTTCCACCCTGATGTTGCACCCTGAGGCTCTTCCCCTCTTACTCAGCCAGCTGCTTTGACCTTAAGTGGTGCCCTTCCTCTGCCGTCAGATGTGAGCTCCTGGAGGGCAAGAATTGTGGTGCATTTGTGTGTTACATAACCTGTGGGAGATACAGTGAAGGCATGAGGTTTAGTCTTGACCTTGAGGTTAATCATAGTCTGGGAAGGTGAGGGCAAGACACACTGAAAATTTATCTAGTATAATAGCTCTGAATCGATCTATGTGTAAGGAACAGTATATATAAAGGGTGACTAGTTCTCTTTGTGTGGGACAGAGAAGATTACCTGTAGAGGCAAAGTTTGTTCGTGCTGTTTCATCAAGGTAGCTTAAAGGCATGTTGGACTGTAATACTGGATAGGTATGTCAAGGGGAGTTGGTAGAAAGTCTATAGCTGGAAAAGGAGTGTGGACTTTTTTCAATAAGCCTTGGGTGAAAGGTTTTTCTAAATAGGTGGGAGACGTAATTAGCTATGTACTTTCGAAACATGGTTTTCATGGTAGTATAAACTATGGCTCAGAAGGGCAGCTTGAAGTTTTATTTCAGTCCCTATAAGCTTAGTTGAGGGCCTCCTTCAGTCCCAGGTGCTTTGTTGGGTACTGGCTATGGAGATGAATGATATGCACTTGCTGTCTTTGAGGGGCTTATAACCTGTGGAGACAGACACTAACAGACAATTTTATTGTAATACAGTGAGTGCTGTGATAGAGATATATCCAGGGTGCTATGGAAGCCCAGAAAAAGATACCTAGATCAGCCTGAGACTTCAGAGAAGGTTTCCTGGAGGAGATGATGCCTGAGTTGTCTTAAAGGATGAGTAGGTGTTAGCCAACTAGGAAAGAGAGGACAGGCTCTTCTGGAGATGATTGCTAGGTTTGGACTTGTTGACTGACTAGGTGGCTCATGGTGCCACTGACTTAGATTGGGAATACAGAGGGAGGAGTCAGTTTGGAGGGACAAGGTAATGAGTTCACATTTGATCTGAGTGAGTCGGAGATACCTGTAGGACATTCCCAGTGCATGTGCCCCTCAGTCAACCTGACTCTTTGGAGTAGTCAAAGGAAGCCGTAACTAGTGCCCGAACTGAGGGTAATGACGGGATGATTGAAAGAGAATGTGAGAACAAAGAAGCCATCCAAGAGGCAGAAGAGGACTTGGCTCCAAGTGCCTGTTTGTACTGAGGAGAAAGGTGTAGTTGGTTGTGACTTGACCATCTCTCATCGGATCCGTAGAGTAATCAAGACGTATATTGACCAGTTTTCCAGGAAGGAGGCATACTGTGAGGAATTTCACTGTTTTGGAGAGCTTACTGTGTGCAGGCACTATTCTGAGTGTTTATGTGTATTAACTGATTTCGTCCTCACAGCAGTTATGTTCATTCTGTAGATGAGGAAGCCAAGGTACAGAGTAACTTCCCCAAATTACACATAGAAAGTAGGGGAGCTGAGATTTGAGTCAAAACAGTTTGGGTCGAGTCTGCTCTCTTAAGTACTGCAAACACTGTTCTGACTGTGAGTGGAGGTAATTTGGTAGAGAAGTAGATTTTTTATGATCATGAAACCAGTTCCTTTTCAACTTTGGGCATCTATTACCAGAGGAATGTAATTTTTAATATATATTGTTTGGTATTTTGCATTCTGCAACAATATTTCTTACCCTGCTTTAGTAAGTGGGCAATGTTCCTGTACCCAAATAAGTGTTCTTGTTGTAGCAGATATTTTGTTTTATGCATTGTATTTCTTAGGAGTTGTCTTGTTATTGTCCTATGTGAATTTGGCCTTATGTGCAAAGGGAAAAGAGATAAGGGCCAATAGAGAAGAGCAACACAGAGAATGTACAGAGCCTTTGTGCAGCTTCTTAGTGGCCATATGGTAGTGGTGCCAGGTAAGAGTATGATTCATAAAAATTTATTTTTAATTTTTGACGCTTATATTCTTAACATGGATTTACTTAAGTTCAGTATACCACATGTAAAGTTGAATGGAGGTTAAAAAGTACCCAATTTATTATTATTTCCCAAAAAATGAGAAGAAATAATACTGGAAAAATGATGTCCCAGACTAAGAAGAAGGATTTATCTGAGACGGCTTTTAGCATTTTTCCAGGTTATCTTGTGTTTAATTTAGCACCTCCCTTTTCTTCCTGTTATGAGCTGAAGTGCAGTTTAAAAGTGAAAAATAACCACATGCAGGCCATAAAGGACCTCTCCACAAATCTCCAAGGATTGAAAACATACAGTATATACAGCCTGACTATGTGGAAATAAACTGGAATTCAATAACAGAAAGATAACTAGAAAATCCCAAAATATTTGAAAATTACTCAATTGATGCTTTGTAAATATATGAAAAGATTAATAAAATCAATAAACTTCCAGATAGACTGAATGTTCAAGAATAAAAGAGGAAAAATACAAATTACCAATAACAGGAATGAAAAAGGAGACATCACTGTGGACCCTAATTAACCAATGGGTTGAAGAAGAAATCACTGTAGAAAACATTTTGAATTGAATGATAGTGGAAAGATAAGATATCAACCTTGTAAGCTATAGCTAAAGCAGATCTTAGAGGAAATAGTTTTAAGTGAATCTATTAGGAAAGAAGATAAAAAACCAATACTCTGAACTTACATTTAAGAAGCCAAAAAAAGAAACCAAGTTTAAACCCAAAATGAAAGGAGTAAAATAATAAATACAAGAGCAGAAATCTGTGAAATAGAAAACAAGTCAACAATAGAGAAAAAATTAACAAAGACAAAAATTGGTTCTTTGAAAAGATTAATAAATTTAAGTCTGTAGCAACACCGATGAAGAATAAAAGAGAAAAAGTGCAAATTGCCAATATTAGGAATAAGAAAGAGAACGTTCCTGTTGATCCTGTAGATATTTAAGCAATTGTAAGAGGATATTATGAATAAACTAGATAATACGGACAAATTCCTTGAAAATCTAACTAGATTAGACACTAAACCATTATTTGAAATTTACAGGTAGAAAAGTACTTGATAAAATGGAAAGCATTTCAATTCCTCCTTTACCATTAAGTTCTGGTCTCTAACTTAATTGTAGATTATTATACACTGACCCCAATATGCTTAAGTCTTGGTGTTTTTTCTTTGTAGGCTTGTTATGCTGCTTCCGTGGTTGGATATCTGACAGACCGGTAAACTAAAGTCAACATTTTATTTCAGTTTCTTTTAAAGGCTGTCTTAAACAGAGGTTCTTAAGAAATTACTTTATAAGTGTAAAACAGCAAACTGATTTATACGGAGATACCTTTTCCTTCAGTGCTTTAAGCATAGAAAGTCACCTAGGGTAAAGCATTCAAGCTCATTAAAAAAACTTGGGGCAGAACCCAACTTTTCAGAGTTACTTTCTATCAAAGACCAATTGACATGTTTATTTGTTGAGAAATTTTTAAAAAACACTCCCCCCAACACACAAAAATGTATTCAGCAGTCAAAAATTTGCTTCTATGTGTAGTCAACTTGATTTAGCCCAAATATAATAAGAGCGAGCTATAAAGAGGTTAGTGAAATACAATGGAAAGATGATAAGTACCTTATTTCTTGCAGGAAGACTGATAGAATCTTTCTCTGGTTTATTTTTCTAATTAAAAAAATTCTAATAATTGTTTTAGCAATTGTAGTAAAGACCTGTATGTCCTTCCTTTGAAGTCCAAGAAGATGGCCATGTTGCACCCTAAGGTGATGTGAATCAAGGATTACATTTGACCTGCTTTTAATAAAATAAATTCTGTTTTGCTTTTAGGCCAGGAGTATGCCTTGTTACCTCTGGCCCAGGTCTCATCAATGCCTTGAGTGGTATGGCAAATGCAAACATGAACTGCTGGTAATTCGATTGTTATTATTGAAAACGTTTTCTTAAACATGTCAGTGCGTGAGGGCCGGCTCCATGGAGTGGTTAAGTTTGTGTGCTCTGCTGCGGCAGCCCAGGGTTTCACCAGTTCGGATCCTGGGCGCGGACATGGCACCGCTCATCAAGCCATGTTGAGGGGGTGTCCCATGTAGCACAACCAGAAGGACCTGCAACTAGAATATACAGCTATGTACTAGGGGGCTTTGAGGAGAAGAAGAAGAGAAAAAAAAGAAAAGAAGGTTGGCAATAGATGTTAGCTCAAGTGCCAATCTTAAAAAACAAAAAAGTCAGTGCATGATTTTACCTAGTGGAGCAACACTGATCTGGGGTGGGAAGACTTGGAATCAAGTGCTTTGAGGGGATGGCTTAGTAAAAAGTTAAATTAAGAAGACTATTAGAAAGAAAATAAAAAACAATTAACTAGCGATAAAAACTCAACATTTTGGAATATATACGTATATATTACCTGTATCTATATATGTATGTGAATGTGTGTATAGTTCTCTTTAAGTGAAGGATTATTTTTTAAAGATCCCAGCTCAGTATGCAAGAATGTATTTAATTCTTCACCTTGTCTTGTGTAATTAGCAAGACAGCTGAAATTCCTGTATTTATTGAGTTTGCTTTATAAGTGGCTTTGAGCTTGACCTTAACTCCCTCTTGGGTGCTTTACCAATAAGGTCATGTTGAGGGGGTTGTGTTTTAATCAGTTCATAAAGTATTGAATCTTCCTAGTGGAAGGAAATAGTTTTCTTTCTTGACATGTGTTTCTTAAACTTTCTTCCTTCCTAGTCTTTCTCTTTCTTACCTACTTTAGAGTCTGATACTTTTTGAGTAACTTTAGCTTTTTTTTTCTCCTTGAAGGATGAGAATTTTATTGTTGAGGAATTTCTCTCATTCTGCCATTTCCAAATAGACTCACTTAGGAAAGTGTGAAAGAATTTTCTCCTCCTCTAATCCCAAGAATAATAGTAAGGGCATAAAAATTCATTTTACATCACCACACCTAAAGGTTTAGCATCAGCATCCCAAAGGGGCAGGGAGGAGAGGGGCAGGGAGGAGAGGGGCATGGAGGAAAAACATTTATTCTAAAGTTTAGATTTTTCTGAAATTGAGGAAGGGTTCTCGACATCGGGTTGTTTCCTAAATCTTTGTAAATCTACACTTTTGAAGGGAAAACGTAATTCATTCCTTCTCTCTTTTAACATCCGTTGAGAGTTTATTAATCATTGGGTACTCCGCTGAGTATTTTTCATGTCGATCTCGTTTGTAACTCTCCTTTAAAAAAATGAATATTTCAGGCCCTTGCTTGTAATCGGTGGTTCCTGTGAAAGAAGTCAGGAAACAATGGGAGCCTTCCAGGAGCTTCCTCAGGTACCCAACACTAAGATTTTTCCTCCAGAGTTTAGTTGCATAATTACACACCATTAGATTTGTGAAGATGAAATTAAAACACCTGTCTGCAAAATAAACAAAATAAAATGGAGGTGCCTGAGGTAATTTAAAGGTAATTTTCCTAAACTACAAGACTATCTCAGTGTGGATATTAAGAAAGCGTAGGCTCTGGTTAAGAGCAATCTTCCAAGAAATACATCTTTTTGACAGGCTTTTAAACTCAGTAAGTTCTTCAAAGGGTTGAGAAAGTGCAGAAATAAAAAATGGTTTGAGACTATGCCTCTCAGACTGTGGGGAAGTAAAAAGTATATAAAAATTTTTTAAAATTTGGAAGAATTTGTCAACAAAATGCTATGGTTTTAAGAATAGTTACAGAAAGCACATAAGTGAGAATGAGAGTTTAACACTTAGAGTATGAATATATTTGAGCATTTACAGTGCAAAGTTATGAGCAAAGTTAAAACCATTAGGCAAAGTCTGTTGTTAAATCAGAAATCATTGTGAGAACTTCAAAATATAAGCGTAGAATTAATATAAAATACTAGATCTTGGGGGCCAGCCTGGTGGTGCAGCGGTTAAGTTTGCACGTTCCGCTTCGGCGGCCTGGGGTTCACCAGTTGGGATCCTGGGTGGGGGCATGGCACTGCTTGACAAGCCATGCTGTGGCAGGCATCCCACATAGAAAGCAGAGAAAGATGGGCACAGATGTTAGCTCAGGGCCAGTCTTCCTCAGCAAAAAGAGGAGGATTGGCAGCAGATGTTAGCTCAGGGCTAATCTTGCTCAAAAAAAAAACCAAAAACAAAAACACTAGATCTTGGTATAGGTTAATGAAAAAGTTATATTTTTATATTTTTAAAAGGGAATTGAGAGCCAACCCTGATGGCCTAGCAGTTAAAGTTCTGTGCGCTCTGCTTCAGCAGCCCAAATTTGGTTCCCAGGCATGGCACCACACCCCTCATCTGTCAGTAGCCATGCTATGACAGCGGCTCACACAGAAGAACCAGAAGAACTTACAGCTAGACACCACTATATACTGGGGCTTTGGAGGGGAAAAGGCAAGAAAAAAGGAGGAAGATTGGCAACAGATGTTAGCTTAGGGTGAATCTTCCCCTGCAAAAAAAAAACAAAACAAAACCAAAAAACAAAGGAATTGAAGTTTTACTTAGTTAATGGCAGAGAATAACAACAGTTATTTAAAAAATGTTGATATATTTGAAAAATAAGTAGAGAAGATATTTAAAAGGAAATTTAAACTTACTACAAAAACTTTATAGATGGAAAAAAGAAAGCAGAGGATAATATATCCATGGCAAATATTTTTCCCTGAAAGGAAAATAGTAGAATAGTTTATTAGATGAAATTAAAAATTTGAAGAGAAAGATCACAGATTTGATTTAAAATACAAATATCTGTTTCTTGTGGGAATACTTTAAACTACATAACCATGAACAGATTAAAAGGTTAGGGAGTGATCTTAATTCTGTCATGCTTGTGGGACGAGACTACCAACAGTTCCATAGTTTCTGTCACTCCTGTGGAACTAGCATTACCAGTTATTCCATAGATTTCTTATCAAAAATATCAAGAGAAATTTTTTCTATTTAATGCTTCAAAGTACATTATTAAACAGTGAAAAATTAATCCTACTGAATTTACGTAACCCAGACAGCACAGCAACAAAATATATAACAGGGAAACTGGCAGAAATGTTAGAATAGATAATTATTGTAATGAGATGTAAGAGATGAGGTTACGTATTGCTGGCTGTGGAATTTCTGGGTCCAAGGATATCCTCACTTTTAGTAGACATTGTCAACTTCCTTTCCATTTATACTCTCACCAGCAGTTTATGAGAGTGCCTGTTTTCCTGTGTTGTGACAGAGGCTGAATGTTATCTAACTCTTTTATTTTTACCAATCTGAGAAAGGAAAATGGTATCTTGTTTTGATTTGCTCACTGACTCATCCTGAGGCAGAAAGTTGACTGTGCTTTGCATAGGCTTTTAAAAAACAGTCCAGGCTGTCACAGTGGCACAGCGGTTAAGTTTGCACAATCTGCTTCAGCGACCCAGGGTTCACTGTTTCAGATCCCGGGTGCAGACCTGCACACCGCTTCGCAAGGCATGCTGTGGCAGGCATCCCACATATAAAGTAGAGGAAGGTGGGCATGGATGTTAGCTCAGGGCCAGTCTTCCTCAGCAAAAAAAAAAAAGAGGAGAATTGGCGGCAGATGTTAGCTCAGAGCTAATCTTCCTCAAAAGAAAAAAAAAAGAAAAAAAGAAACAGTCCAGGTAATAACATTTTCTCCATCTTTCCTCTAAACATAATAGAAAGTAATGACTTAACATTTTGTCTTTCTTCAGGAGAGTAATATGATTTGTGAGCTGAAATGGTTTTCTCTGTACATCTAGGTGGAAACTTGTAGATTATATAGCAAGTTCTCTGCCCGGCCAAGCAGCATACAAGCTATTCCCTCTATTATTGAAAAGGTACAGTATTTAGTTACAAGCCCTCCAGGTCAACTGGTTTTACTCAGTTGCTCATACCTGTGTTTTTATTCTCAGTGGAATGAGTAACAAGAATATATTCAAGCAGTCAAAAATGATATTGTTAAGGAGATATTTACATTTTAATGTTCATTGTAATTATAAATATTTAATTATAGAAAGAGAAGTTATTTTTGAAAAAGTTTCTTCTCTACTTTAGTTTTTAATTTTTTTTTAGTTGTAGAAAAGTAAAAAATAAAAGATAAAGTGAAACCATGGGTGCTCTTTCTATTACACTTTTGCAAAAGAATTATTTTTGAAAATTAGTGCTAACGCATGAGACCATCTCTTACTTGATCAAACAGCATATTATAACTTAATTTTACTTAGCCAGTATTTATATGTGAGTTACATTTGAGCTGTTTCAGAAGCATGTGTTATAGAAACCATTTGACACATGTGACAAAGTCACAGATTCTGAACTTTGCTAAATCATTAGGATTAGGAAACCGTGAAAGTATGTTGCAAAGACTTGGCAGGCAGAGCCTAGTGAATAATTTCTAAGACTAAGGAGTAATAGAACATGAATTTTAAAGCCCTAAGTGAGTAATTTCTTTCTTATCTCTCCCCTTTTAAAGAAAAATATCTTTTAAAATATATAGATTAATAGAGAACATTTCAATTTTAACTGAAATTGTTTATTTCTGCAACTAAGGATGTCTAGAAAATTTAAATAGTGTCATTTCATAATTTTAAGTTACTTCTGAGTGGAATATGATGATAAAGATTGAGATTCCTAAAATACTTTCTTCTATTTATGATAAACTTAGGCGGTGAGAAGCAGTATGTATGGCCGTCCAGGTGCTTGCTATGTTGACATGCCTGCAGATATCGTGGACCTCAAGGTGAATGTGAGTTCTATAAAGTGAGTAATAGTTATATTGGCGTTCTTTCTGAATTGTGTTATAATGCTTACTTTTTAACAAGAATTTACCTAGCAGCTTATAAGTTAATCTTCTTTTGTTTTTTGATGATTTAGTGATTAAACTGAATCCTGGCCAAAGGGCTTAATTCTCTTAAATAAAATGGTATAATTTACTAAATCAGATACTTAGAGCATCCTGAACTCCTCATTGAAATTATTCTTCCAGTAACCGTAAATAACACATCCTCATTAATGTAGTGTGGGTATTTAGTCTTCATAGTGTAAACCAAGAGATGAGATGAGGGCCAGCCCCATGGCCGAGTGGTTAAGTTCACACGCTCTGCTTTGGCAGCCCAGGGTTTCGCTGGTTCAAATCCTGGGCATGGACATGGCACTACTCATCAAGCCACGCTGAGGCAGCATCCCACATGCCACAACTAGAAGGACCCACAGCTAAAAATACACAGCTATGTACTGGGGGGCTTTGGGAGAAAAAGGAAAAATAAAATCTTAAAAAAGAAAAAACCTGAGCTATTTAAAAAAAAAAAAAAAGGCACTGCTCACCAAAAGATGAGGTGGCTGTTGAAGGATTCTTAGAACTTAGCATAAAACATTTTAGTCTGTCTCTGATTTTAACATATTGCAACATCAGATGTTACTATGATTTTCCAAGTTCCCTTATTCCTTAAATAAACATTGAGTGAACAATAAGTACAAGAAACGTTTTTCACTATCTAAGTCACCCCTGGTAAGGGTGAGTACTTGGGTTAATGCGTCACCCTGGGTACCATTTAGTACATTCCTGCTGTCGTGGACCAAGTCGTACTCTAGTGACTACAGAGAGAGAAGGGGGCATTTCTACACTCAGTATACCAAGGAGCAGTTTCTACTGGGGAGAGTCAGATAAAAAGGACATCTATTCTGCATAATATCTGTACATGATAATCAAAATAATATTATTGGGAGGGAGGAGGGAGAAATGAGCCTCAGGTAAGTTACCTCTATAAGCCTTCTTTAGAATTTTTGTTAAGATTTGAATGTCCCTTTTTTGTATTATATGTCCAAGTTTTTACAGTATAATGTTTATTAATTACAATAAATGAAATAAAACACTGAGGACTTGGGTCCAGAAATACTTAACTATGACAGATTTAATATTTTACTAATGCATACCCTGGTACTAAAACATTGACTGACCAAGTGAGTAGAATTATAGTTAGGTAGTTAAAAGCATGGACTTGAGAGACAAAATGACCTGGTTCAATCCAGTCTTTGCCACACGCCATTTGGGGACCCTGGCAAGTTACTTACTTTCTGAATTTTCTTTTGCCCAATGGTGAAATGGAGGTAATGGTAATCCTTGAGCTCGTTGTTTAGAAAATTAAATGAGAATGAATGGCACACAGTAGATGTTAAATTTGTTTTTTACTGTTACCATAACAACCACTACTACAATGCAAAGCCATTAACTCAAATTCCCTGTCAATGAAGGAGGCTATAAGGAAACAAAAATAAGAACAAAATAAGAACATAAGCAATTTAAAAGTTGGCCTCTTTTAATTAACAGAACTCTTTATTTCCAGGTACGTGGAGTGCTGCATGCCACCTCCTGTTAGTATGGCAGAAGGCTCTGCTGTGTGTATGGCAGCATCTGTTCTTAGGAATGCCAAGCAGCCCCTTATCATCATCGGGAAAGGTAGCGTTGAATGGAACTCTGAATCTTGCTAGGCTTTTGAAAGAATGATGATTCTGTTTCGAAATTGTCTTCATTATTTATTGACATCTGCTCTAATGTTTGAAATTGGAATAAGAGTTCTCTTCATCCATTTAGCATTGTTTATTAGTTTTGAAATCACAGAATCATTCTAGAATGCCCAGAGATCTTACCCTTTTAAGGGAAAATCATCAGTTACGTTTCTTTGGTCTTATGAGTAAAATGTGTTTTTTCCATTATAAAAGTAATATGTGATCCTTATAAAAAATTTTGGAAAATCCAGAAGATTAGAAAGAAAACTCTTCATCCAAAGATAACCATTTTTAATATGTAGTACTTTTCTATTCCTTTTTGCATGTATATTTTATACATTGTGATCATACTGTATAGATAGTTGTGTATTCTATTTAATTCATTTAACATTATAGCAACTTTTTTTCATGGTCTTAGATTTTTTTCCTAAATCTAAATTTTAATATCTATTCATGTATATACCAAGAGTTTGCTGGTGAATATTTAAATCTTTGACAGTTTTTGTTTGTTTGTTTAGAATACCTGTGATAAACATCTTTGTGCTTAAAGCTTTTTCCATATTTAGTCTATAAGATGGATTTCCAGAAAGAAAATTAAGTTAAAAGGTATCCATATTTTGTTTTTATTTTTATTTATTTACTGGAGGAAGATTAGCCCTGAGCTAACATCCACCACCAATCCTCCTCTTTTTGCTGAGAAAGACTAGCTCTGAGCTAACATCTGTGCCCATCTTCCTCTACTTTATATGTGGGACGCCTGCCACAGCATGGCTTGCCAAGTGGTGTATAGGTCCACATCTGGGATCCAAACCAGCAAACCCCGGGCCACCGAAGCGGAGGGCGCAAACTTAACTGCTGCACCACCGGGCCAGCCCTGGTATTCATATTTTAAGGCTTTTCATACATGTTGTCAGATTGCTTTCTCCCAAGGTATTGTATCAAATTCAGCAATTTAGTATAGTATTATTATATGTTCTAGAACTGAAGGGCTATGAATCACCTATGACCATGCTAGTCAGTTATCAACTAATTAGAAACTAAGTAATAGAAACTAAAAATATTTTTAATGAAGATGGTGGACAAGAGAAAAATATTAAAGTCAGAGCTGAGTTGAGTGCGGCTCTGTAACGTCTTAGCTCTGCGATCTTGGTGAACAACTGCTTTGAGTCTCCGTTACCTCACTTGGAAAATAGAGACATTAACTACCTCAACATTATTGTTATAATTAAATGACAAAGGAAATAGAAAGAGCTCAGTGGATGCTAATTTTCATTCTTCCTTTAACAAGCATTTGATGAGTGCTTATGATAAGGCAGGGATTATAGAAAATATTTGGGAGGTATACAGAGACATAGTGGTCCCTAACTGTAGGGGGATAGACCGGGTGACAAATAAGTGCGGTATCCTCTTAAGTGGTGTGTATAGAATAGTGGGGTGGGTTCTCAAGGGAAGCAGCAACAATTTGCTCATGTAGATGGTGTGGAAAGGCTCTCCAGAAGAGATGACATTGTGGCTACACCTTGAAAAAATGGATGATAGGGCACCAAGTAGACAAAACAAGGGCAATCCAGGAAGAGAGAACCGAATGGACAAAGATATTGAGGCCAGAAGGAGGATATAAGGAAACTTTCTGGATGAAAAGAAGGAACTATTTTTCATTCTACACGTATGATAAAAGATTCTGAGGTAGTTTTATTGGGGGGAAGCATTATATTGAATCTGACCGTATACTATACTATATACCGGGACTCAATAAAGAATTATAAGTTCCAAATATGGAGTGATCCTTCAGAATAATTGGGAATATTGTGAGGCAGGGGAAGGAATTAGAACGATTGCTTTCTTAAACATTGTAAAATAGCTTTCTTGAACCTTGTAAAATACTAAAGATAAAACCATAGTCACAATTTGTTTTGCGGTTAAGCCCTATATAAGCAGGAGAATAGTTGAGAAATTCTAAAAGCAATTTCACATGAACTGTTTGAAGGGTCACAGTGCCTGGAGCTTAACAGACAAGCAATAAATTTCCGTTTCTTGTAGGTGCGGCTTATGCCCGTGCAGAGGAGGCTGTGCGGAAATTGGTGGAGCAATGTAAATTGCCTTTTTTGCCAACTCCCATGGGAAAGGGTGTTATTCCTGACAACCATCCAAACTGTGTAGGTGCTGCCAGGTCCAGGTGTGTGGCATTCCAGATTTTAAATACAGTGACTTGGTAGATGTTAGGCTAATTTAAATTATTTGTGATTTCAGTGAATCTAGAAGTTCTGAAAGAATTGTGTCATTTTAAGCACACCTGCTTCTTTTTAGATTTTTCAACACTTTAAATTTGTTGTCCACTATCTTCTAATCCTTGTGGTTTCAAATGAGAAATCTGCAGACATTTGAATCAATCATTGTTCATCTGTATGTAATGTGTTGTTTTTCAGTGGCTGCTTTCTTTGATTTTCAGCATTTTGATTATGATATGTCTGCACGTGGTTTTCTTTTAGTTTATCCTGTTTGGAATTCTCTAGTCTTCTTGAATCTGTAAATTTATCTTTCACCAAATTTGGAAAGTTTTTGGACATTATTCCTTTAAATATTTTTTTCTAGATCAATCTCTTTCTTCTTTCCTGGCATAACACAAACATTAAACATTTTGCTGTTGTCCCACAGGTCCCTGAATATCTGTTCAATTCTTTTCAATCCTTTTGTCTCTTTTATATTTTTTATTTCTCTTCTGAGAACTTCTATCTTCTCATTTATTTCAAGAGTATTTTTGTTTACCTTATGGAGCATAGTTATAATAACTGCTTTAAAGTCTTTGTTTACTAATTCCAACATCTGGGTCATCACGGAATTGGCATCTATTCATTATCTTTTCTTTTGAGAATTGGTCACATTTTTCTGGTTCTTTGTGTATTGACTAATTGGGGTTGTATCCTAGATTTTTAAATACTATGTTGTGAGATTCTAAGTTATATTAAAATCTTCTGTAGAATGTTGGCTTTTTGTTTGTTTCTTTTAGTAAGCAATTGGCCTGGTTAGGTTCATAATGCAAATTCTGTCTTACTCTGGGCAGTAGTTTCAGAGCCTTTGCTATGCTCATTTGGGCCTGTCCACACATGCATAGCCCAGGGGTGAGCCCCAGACATGTGGCAGTTCATATCCAGCATTAGGGAATTCTTTTCTCTTCTCTGTAGTACCCACCTGTCCCTGATTTCCAGAAGTCCCTTTTCCTGGCCCTTGCTGCTGACTTTTGTAGTACCACACAACTGGGGCTGCCTCTGGGGCAAGGTGGCAGAAAAAAAAGAAAGGTAAAAAATAAAGGGGACTGTCCCCATACTCTTCAGACTGGGGAGGCCCCTTTTCCAAGTTCCTCTTGCTGCAAAATGAAGTTTCTCTTCAAAGGAGTTTTGCCTGCTTGGGAGCTACCACAATGCAGCCATGCAACAGAGCTGCCCTCAGAGCATGGCTGGGAGGGACAAAAAGAGAAAAAGAAAAAAAATCTGAGCTTTTTTCCCCATGCTCTCTGACTTGCAGGGCCCCTTTTCCTGATCCTCTGGCCAAAAAGACAGGGTTTCTCTCTCAAAGCTTTTACTGTCCTCCAGTTCTACACCCAGAGCTGCCCTGAGTAACAGCCAGGAGATGAAAGGAAGAGACAAAGCCCTTGGAAGCTCACCTCCTGTGTGGGTCACTTCTTTGACCCTTCCCCAGTCCACCTACTATTATTTACTTTTCAGAATTCTCAAGTAGTTGCATTTTCTTTTTCGTTGGGAGTTTTCCGTTGTAATTAGTCAGAGAGCTAGACTGTAGTGGGCTTACCCAGTCCTGGCTGGCACTAGAAGTCTCCTCTTTTTAGATTTTTAAAACACACTTTTTAATAAGCTATACATTTTTTCCTTTAATTTCTTGAAATTTCTTTATTATGAAATATTCTAAATTTACAAACAAGAAGAGAGAATAATTTAATGGACACTTATGTAACCACCACTCAACTTTATCAAATGTAATGTAATAAGTAATATATCATTGCTTTAGGGTTCCTTATTTTTTTAGGAAATAAAAGATTACAGACTCCTTTGTGTTCCCCTGCATATCTTTCCTAATCTCATTCCCTCCCTCCCTCTCCACAGTTTGCCATCATGATGCATTTGGTGTTTTTCGTATTTTCATGCACTCACTAAAATTAATTTTTGACGATTTTTAAAATGTAACGTTTGCTCATTTATTGCTATCTTAATAGATTCTACCTTAATGTGTAAAAGTATAGATTACACCTTTACTTTTTTTTCATATTAGTATACATTGTATAGTAACCAAATTAATTCTTATACTACTAAGGGGTGTTTTTAATATATACTTGCATTGAGCTGAAGTTTATCTTTGTTCCAACCAAATTTTAAGAAGGTAATATAATATGAATGACTTTAATAGTGTAAAAAAGATTGCAAGGGGCTATAAATCATTGAATCAATACTTTCAAGGGTTTTAGAGTATCGGTAAACAAATCTATCCTTCCAGCTGTAGTTTTTATCTCTTTGTTAAATTGGGTCCCACGGGACCAGTACGGTATATGAATCAGAAGCTGATTCTGAACACTAATGTAAGCTCCAAATTATTTAGACTTTTCTAAGTACTTTAGAAATTAATTACAGAATAATTCAAATAAGAAATATAGATGTACTTTTTGTGTTACATCAGATTTTTCTTTTTAATAGGGCTTTGCAGCTTGCTGATGTAATTGTGTTATTTGGTGCCAGATTAAATTGGATTTTGCATTTTGGACTGCCTCCACGATTTCGGCCAGATGTGAAGTTTATCCAGGTACTCGGAGAGGAGAGGAGAGCTTTAAAATCAGAGCTATCTGTAGTTTCCTGCTCTCCCTCTCAGCCATGATCAGCTCTGCTTTCTTCTTGGCTTTTGTAAAGAGCCATTTGTCTTTTTACAAAAGTGGAATTTTAGAAATTGTCTAACATAATTACAGATTCCAAAGGAAGCTGCCTTTTCAAACCTGTGAGACATAACATCCTACTTTCCTTCTAACCAGAAAACCTTTCAAAATCAAGTTTTAAATAGTCTGAAAAGTATAATTTGCCTTTTCTTCATAGTTTAAGTATATTTAAAAGGTAGACAAAAGAGCTTTAAGTAGGATGGTAGATTAGAACAAAACATTCAGTATTGTTAGGGACTGAGGTGTTCTGTTAGATGCCAAAACTTTCAAACACCTTTTGGTTGGAAATCTCTAAACAGTGCTGCTTTTACATGTCATTAAACAGGGTGTTTGGATTTCACTGTGACCTCCCCCGATGACTCTTGTATCATTGTGACCCTGTTTATAAGCCAGTTTTCTTGCTGCTGTGGCAAGTACTGCCTACATAGCGGCATGCAAACCTGTTGACACAGACTGTGTACAGACAGTGTCTGGTATTTGATGACAGCTACAACTGTTATCTTCTCCCTGTTTACCTTTTACTGCTTAAGAAGTCACCTTCTAATAGTCCCTTTACTCCTGGGACCATTGGAAACTAAAACCACAAACAAGCAAGACCTGGGTTGTACCTGGAAGATGCTCCCACCTCTTGATTGTCCCTCTTGATTACAGAATAAAGTGCATCCCCTTTGGGGTGGCTAAATTACTCCTCCTTACACAAGCTATTTTCGCTTGCCCATGGCCATTCAGAAATGGAGCTTCTGGGAAATGGGAAGTAATCATGCTATGCCCTAGGAGTGGTTCTCTACTCCTGCGTCCCTGGACCAGCAGCATCAGCCCCACCTGGGAAACCTGTTGGAAATATACATTTTCAGGCCCCACCCCAGACCTACTGAGATCAAAATTCTGAGATGGACTCTTGCAATCTACAGTTTAACAAGCCTACCAGGTGGTTCTGATAGCTCAAATTTGAGAACTCCTGCTCTAGATAGGAATTCCAGTGTAATTAAGTACAGCTTTATTTGATTAGATTCAAAACTATAGTTGATCAAGTCGAATGCATGCCTGTGGGGATAATGGAAAAATACCAAAATTCTACAGAGTAAATTTTAAAATGAGAGAAGATGGTGAGGTTTCTGTACTAGCTATGATACTCATAAAAGTTGTATGGATTTTTACTTTTGTTAAGAAGCTTCTTGAATATCAGAATTTCTTTATCATATGTTATGTATACAGTTTATTCAGCCTTAATTGACTTCTTAAAGATTTTTAAGAATAAACATGGCTTGTTCTTCAGCCTTGTCTGTTTTTTAGGTTGATATCTGTGCAGAAGAATTGGGGAATAATGTAAGACCTGCTGTGACTTTGTTAGGAGACATAAATGCTGTCACTAAACAGGTAAGAGCTTTTGCCTGGGTTTTGGTTTATGTGGCTTGGTCTTTAGGGAATACTCAGTTCTTGAAAATGTTACATCTTGATTCACTTGGCAACAGGTCTACTAACATCTGTTTTAAACAAAATTTATTCTGGAAGGCTATTCTTTTTTTTTCCTTAAAGGTTGGTCCTGAGCTAACACCTGTTGCCAATCTTGTTTTTTCTTCTTCTCCCCAAAGCCCCCCATTGCATAGTTGTATATTCTAGTTGTAGGTCCTTCTAGTTCTGCTGTGTGGGATGCCGCCTCAGCATGGCCTGATTAGCGATGCTAGGTCTGCGCCCAGGATCCAAACCACCGAAACCTTGGGCTGCCCAAGTGGAGCACGTGAATTTAACCATTTGGCCACGGGGCCACCCCCTGGAAAGCTATTCTTAAGTATAACTTTGGAACTTGGTAAATCCAACTCCTTGTATATAACTCCTTATATATACAACTCCTTGTATCATTTTTATGTAAGTTAAGCTAACATTTTTGGAAGGTGATTGAAAATTTAAAGGCATTCAGTAGGCAAATAGTGATTTATTAAGTAGGATTCAGCTACCTGAAAAACTATAATACAGCGTCCAGAGGAACTGAACTTACAGCCAAGAAATGGCTTTATGTACTGGAAAAATCCAGCTTAGTCTTTCTTCAGGCAATAAAGAGATTTTTAACTCTTCAAATTGTAATCAGTGACTTGTCCAGATTTTTATTATTTGTACATAATTTAAGCATCTCACTGTGACAAGAGATAAAATATAGTCATATTTATCACTTGATTTTGGATACAAATTGGTATTGTTATCAAGATTATACAATATTAGGTTGCGGTCCCCAATCACATATTAGAATGCTCCGGAGCATTTGGTCTGTATCATGGGAATCCCTAGGTATTTGGGGCTGTCAGCCTTCTTGCAAGGGTCCTATGGAGGGGATGATTTTCTTTTTCATGTCAAAGACTGAGGAGGACTTAAAAGCCCCTGGCTGTGTGGTGTGGAGGAGGTGGCCCTTCCATTCTGTTCTGTGGCAATCCCAGCATCTGGCAGAAGTCTGCACTGACCCAAACAAAAGCTTTCCATCTTACCTGTTTATTGTCTATCAGTTGTTTGCTGCCTAGAGGAAAAACAAAGAGTGTAAGTGATGTGAAGGGAAGGATAGTATAGCAGTATTGTCTTCTTTAAGAAGGCATTTCGGGGACAGCCTTGTGGCCTGATGGTTGAGTTCAGTGCATGGCGGCCCAGGTTCAGTTCCCAGACGCAGTCCTACACCACTCGTCAGCTGCCATGCCATGGCACTGCCCAACATATAAAATAGAGGAATATTGGCACAGATGTTAGCTTGGGGCAAATCTTCCTCAGCAAAAAAAAAAAGAAAGAAAGAAAGATTTTTATGTTAATATGATTTAAGTTTATTTTCAAAAAAGAAAGAAAAAGTTTGTGATTTTTAGCTTTTAGAACAATTTGATAGAACACCGTGGCAGTATCCTCCAGAGAGCAAGTGGTGGAAAACTCTGAGAGAAAAAATGAAGAGCAATGAAGCTGTAACCAAGGTAATACGGGACCCACAGAAAGTCAAGAACACTTCGGGTTCATGGTTCAGTCAGTTCTGTCGTGAGATACGCATTCCTGAAAATCACCGCATTATGCAAAATCATGCAGTAAAACCACAGGGCTCATGGAAAAAAGAGTTTAGGGGCATAACTCTCAAAAACTTTGTGAACATTAAGATAGGAACCTAATAAAACTGGTGGGAAAGTTTAACACATGTTAAATGGTCAAGAAATATATATAACAATAAATATGCCACTTTTCCTTGAAAAAGACCTGAAGCTTCTTGTGAAAGTGGGCACTGGAAGGGTTTCAGCCTGTGAGTTACTGTGAAGTGGTAGAAGGAGGGTCTGACGTTGGACAGAAAGTTGTAAGAGTCTGTGGGAGTGGGTGTGAATGGGTGTCCTCAGTTTGACCTTGGCACCAGCTCACACTTAAGAGATCTTTTGGAACCTTAAATCCTGGGGCATGTTCTTCTACTTTTAAGGTATAAGTCCTCCAAGGCATGCATTTATGATAGATAGGTATTTCATCAAAATTGAAAGTGTGATCTAATGTATAGCCTTCTTTTTCTTTTTCTTTTTTTGTTTTAATTTCATCTGTGTTGAGCTATAATTGACATATAAAATTGTAAGATATTTAAAGGTACATCACGGTGATTTGATAACATATATGTCGTGAAAAGCTTCCCCTCATCCAGCTAATTAGCACATCCATCACCTCACGTTTGTTTGTTTGTTGGTTTGTTTGTTTTGGTTAGAACATTTACAGCCTTCTTTCTCAGTTGGCGTTTGTGTCGCCCCTGGAAGTTCTTTTGTGACTCCCTCGTCCCCACGCGTGGTTTTGCCTGTTAGCTCAAGGCTTTGGAAATTGTAGTAATATGTGAATCCACCAAACCATCCACTGCGAGCACTGAAATGAGCCGCTTCTTCAGGATTTGGCTATTTCTGTTTAAAAATCTTCATATAGAGTGTTTTCTCTTTGATTGGGAGAAAAGTTGTTCCTGATTTTTTTCAGTTTTGTGTATTCCTATGCATCTTGGTTCAACCGGGTGCCACTTTCTGTGTCCATGTAGCATTTTTCACTGATGCAGTCATGCCTAAGCAGATACGCAGTTCGAATTATGCTCATATTGTTCCCTAATATATCAGTTGTCTTGGAGTAAATTTGCATTTTCAAAACAAGCAGAATTGACTATACATGATTTATCTTTCATTGGAATTTTAATCAGTGACTGTTTCTCCTGTTGAGAGCCAGTCCAACTTTGTTTTCTGAATAGTGTCATGATTAATCCCTTCCTTTCCCTGGAAAGCTCCTTAGTATAAGATGGAAGGAACTTCCTCTCTGCTCTGGTGCAGGAGTGTAGGAGGATCCCTCATCCATCCTGGGTATCATCTCCAATGGACTAGAGCAGCCCAGGTGAAGGGGCCGTGCTGGGACCAGAGCAGCCCAGGTGAAGGGGCCGTGCTGGGACCAGAGCAGCCCAGGTGAGGCGCAGTGCTGGGATCAGATGGGACTGTTGCAGCTGAAGCCCCTCATGGCATTCTCTCAGCTCTGAGAGGCATATGATTAGACGAAGGCTTTTACCTTGCTGTTTTTCCCTCCATTCAGAGACTCCTTAGAATAGTGGATGAAGCGTATCTGCTTTATTCTCCAGTCTGGGGAAGAACCAGATTTTCTAAAATTCTGACTTTAGCTTAGGGCCATATTTCACGGGTCTTTTTTTTTTTTGAGGAAGATTAGCCCTGAGCTAACATCTACCGCCAATCCTCCTCCTTTTGCTGAGGAAGATTGGCCCTGAGCCAATATCTGTGCCCATCTTCCTCCATCTTACATGTGGGATGCCTGCCACAGCGTGGCTTGATAAGCAGCATGCAGGTCTACGCCTGGGATCCGAACTGGCAAACCCTGGGCCTCTGAAGCGGAGTGCTCAAACTCAACTGCTGCACCCCTAGGCCGGCCCCTTAGGGTCATATTTCAGATGAAAATATTCTAGTACAAAAATTTCACTTTTTCTAGGTCAGTGTTTTCCTAAAAGTGCTCAAATGAGATGATTTAGTTTTATTTAACCGACTGTGTCCAGCTATCTTTACTATAGGACTTCTCAGTCTTTAATATGCTAATGTGCATTGTGGATCTCCAGAAAGAGGGACATTCCCTGTTATTTGATTGTGTCCCAAACTGGGACTCTGGGACGTATTTTTCTTGGCTTGTCCTCCAGGACTGTTCACAGATCAATTAGCTTCTCAGAGTGGCCATGTGGTGGCCATTTGGAAACCTTGTAGTTTATAGTTGTTGCCTATTTCCACATAAGTTTGGTAGTAGCTTTTTGGCACTGTTTAGCTTCGCTGTAGCTCAATCTAATCTGATTATATTTCCTTCTAATATTTTAGGAATTAGCTTCCAAAAACTCCCTGCCTATGAATTATTTTACGGTGTTCTACCATGTTCAAGAACAACTACCCAAGGACTGTTTCGTGGTAAGTGAAGGAGCAAATACTATGGATATTGGACGCACTGTGCTTCAAAACTACCTTCCTCGGCACAGGTAAGCCTTCTAAAGAAAGCAATTATGATGAACTGTAACATGTTAAATTTGAAACTACAACCATGCAGACTAATAAAACGTTTGAGAATTAGACATGTTCAGTTTTTAAGGATGTAGTTCATCTAAAGGTATTCTTCCGTGAGGTTTTGTAGAGTTTTTATGCTTCATATGTCCTCGAGATAAGGTGATAATTTGTATAGTCATTGTTCTAAGAAGATATTCACGGTCTTCCAAGCAATCGCAAGTGACGTTTTCTTCTCATTCTGCTTATCCTTGACAAATTAGTTCCTCACAGTTCAAAAACTTCACGTTAAAGAAAGAGGATGTTTTTATTGTATTTTATTTTTCCATGAACCATGTGCATATACCTAGATTTATGACATGCTTTAGAGGGCTTCATTTTAGCTTTGTTCCCCAACAGGCTTGATGCTGGTACTTTTGGAACGATGGGAGTCGGTTTGGGATTTGCCATTGCAGCTGCTGTAGTGGCTAAAGATAGAAACCCAGGACAGCGGGTCATCTGTGTGGAAGGAGACAGTGCCTTTGGGTTTTCTGGCCTGGAAGTGGAGACCATCTGCAGGTAAAACAGCCTCCCGGTCAGAGCATTTCTTTCTCCAAAAGGTGAAAAATCACGCACAAGGCCCAGCAGCCTAAGCACTTGTTAATACTGAACTGAGTGTCCGCCATGTGCCAGGTACCGCAGGCACAGCACTGTGCTGCACTCTGAGAAGACTCAGTCATCACCCCAGGGTCTCTCTCATCCAGGACAGTGTGTTCATGACCTCTTTACTGCATGCCAAAAATGTGCAACTGGTTTTGAGGTCCCTAGAAAAAGTTCTGGTCTGAGAAAAGCTTGTTTTGTGCAGGGAGACAGCAGAGCTTACTAGTTAAGACTACGGCCTCTGGGTCAGATGGCCTGGATTTAAATACTCGCTCACCCGTGTCAGAGCCAAGTGACTTGGGTTAAGTCACTTAACCAAGCTTCAGTCTCCTCTAAAATAGGGATGGGGATAGTAATAGCTCCTACCTTGGAGGATGGTTGTGAGGAACAAGTGAGATAATCTAGGTGAAGCTCAAGGTGAATGCGACCTGTTCAGATTGTGTTTATAGTCACCAGCATTCATGGAGAAACGCATGAGTTATAGATCCTCTTACAGAAGTATGGGGGAGTTTTCTCCCCAATTATTTAAACTCTAGTAAAACCATTGTATTCTTAGCCAGGGCTCTTATTAGGACTTTTGTAAATTGCGTTTTGGGGCTTTCAAAGCTTTGGCATGAAAAACTTTCAAGATCAGAGGGAAGGTATGTGCCTGTTAGAATATCTGTATAGACAACCAAGTGGTCTATGCCAAAAAGATGATTTATAGGGAAGGCGGCCTCCTAGAAAGTAATGATTCCGTTTGAGCAGGGTGAGCAAGTAGTTGCCACCATCCTGTTACTTAACAGTCTGCAGTTTAGATTTGTTTTTATACCTGATCTCAGAAATTATGTCTCTAGAAAATAAAGCCTAGGTTCTTTTGTCAATCATTAGTAAAGTGTAGTCAGCCTTTTTTTGTCTTCACCAGAGTGTTTAGCACATTGTTAAATACTCTCTTTTTCTCTAGTTATCACACCATATAATGTTTTTCTGATTCTGGGTGAAGTGGTTTGAAAGGAGAAAATGTACACTAGTCTCTTGCGTGCCTTCCACAGTATGTAGCAACTGCTAGTTGTCTGTGAGGAGTTCAATAAAAAGATACTTTTCAAACAGTACCCGTGGGCACCACGTAGAAGTGATGCTGTAGAGGGTATTAAGTATGCAAGGTATCATTCTTATGAATACCTGGATCTATGAAAACCAAGGTTTAGAAGAGCTCAGCTGTTTGCTTGAGGTCCATGGCTGCGTAGTGGTAGAATCAGGTCTGCCCCCGTGATCTGGCATTCTTTCCACTGCTCCATGATGTTTCTGTTAATGATTTGATATTCTTATTAGGATAACAAATGCTTAATTTTTCGTCTTACCCTAATATTACAAAAAAGCTTATGGAAAACTATCCATTTTTAAGTGAAAGTTTCACCCCAAATTAAAGAAATTGCTTTAGATTTAGATTTCCTTTATATTTTGCTCTCAATTTTAGGTACAACTTGCCAATTGTACTTCTGGTGGTGAATAATAATGGAATTTACCAAGGTTTCAATGCAGATACTTGGAAGGAAATGTTGAAATTTGGAGATGCTACTTTTGTGTAAGTAACCCAGAACAATGTTTATTTACTTTCTCTCATCTATTTTAAGCTCTCTTTAAAAAGTTGGCTGTATTGGAATGTGTTGTGGTGTGAGTATTGTTTGTTTATATTGTCAGCCCCTATAAAGGGCAGGAACCCTGTCTGCATAGTTTCTCTTTGCACAACTGTCCGTGATTGGGTGCTTCAATAAGTAGTTTATGATCAGGGAGCCACTGAAGGCTCAGATGAATGAGTTTGAGTCTAAGCCTTGTTTTGTTTTGTTTTGTTTTGTTTTGTTTTTTTGAGGAAGATTAGCCCTGAGCTAACTACTGCCAATCCTCCTCTTTTTGGTGAGGAAGCCTGACCCTGAGCTAACATCCGTGCCCATCTTCCTGTACTTTATATGTGGGATGCCCACTACAGCATGGCGTGCCAAGCGGTGCCACGTCCGCACCCGGGATCCAAACCGGTGAACCCCAGGCCACCGAGAAGTGGAACGTGCGCACTTAACCACTGCACCACCAGGCCAGCCCCTAGTCTAAGCCTTGTTAATGGAAGAGATTATTGCAAAATGCTCCCAGTCCTGCTATTCTTGCTACACCGTGTAGGAATCTGGATGTTTACATATTATTTATGATCCAGAACTCCTCCTTCTTTTTATCACCTAGCTAAATCTTGATCATCTGGTAGCAGAGCCAAACTGAGACAGTGTTGTAGCTGGCTGTGGGGTGTGAGAGAGCTATGAATCTGTGTGTCAGCCTGGGAGTGCAGCAAGGTCTGGGTATGTTTGCTTATGCCTCACTGATTTCATTTGTTGTTTTGTTATTACTTACTTATTTTGTGGTGACATTTCTTTTTTTCTCTTTTTCTTTTGGATTCATAGGTATTGATGGTGTAGCCTGCACTGTCCAGTATAGCAGCCACTAGTTGCGTGTGGCTATTTAAATTAAATTAAAAATTCATTTCCTCATTTTAACTAGCACATTTTAAATGCCCACAGTAACAGGTTGCTAGTGGCTATTATACTGGCTAGCACAAGTATAAAATATTTCCATCGTCACACCTCACATATTACAAAGGTTCTATTCGACACTGATGTATAGACAATAAAAAAATATGGAAAGTTTAGTGTACTGGCATCTCAGTCTAAGTGTTGGACATAAAATTATGCCTTTCAGTTCAGCCTAAAATTTTCCACAAATTATTTCAGAGACTGACTCTTTTTCTGTTGACTTATGACCCTCTTTTTCAGAGCCCCGCCACTCTCTCTTCTGCCAAACGCACATTATGAGCAGGTCATGACTGCATTTGGAGGTAAAGGGTATTTTGTACAAACTCCAGAAGAACTCCAAAAGTGCCTGAGTCAGAGCTTGGCAGACACAACTAAACCTTCTCTTATCAACATTATGATTGAACCGCAAGCTACACGGAAGCCCCAGGTAAATGTGATTGCTAAGCAGAAAGCAGAAATGCATCTCCTCTCCCACCCCCAAAAGTCCTTTCTAAACCATTTCTGGGTCTGGCACATGCATTTGTTTGTTCAGTGAATATTTGTTGAGATATGTATTAGGCGTGCTGTGTCAGGTGCTGAGAATAGCCTAGTGAGCAAAACCAAGCTCAGCCCTCACCTCATGGAGCTTATAGTACAGTAGGGGAGAGGGACAGTCCAGTCACCTGTCAAGTGAATGCATCGTGACAGAATGAAGCATTGCTCTGAAGGAAAGGAACCAGTTCTGAATGAACATACAACAAAGGAATCTGATTTATATTAGGGTCACAGGGAAGGCTTCTCAGAGGAAGTGATGCTGAAATCCAAAGGATAAGTAGAGACCAACTCAGCAAAGAGGCGAGGAAAGAGACGTGCAAAGGCTCTGTGGCAGGAGGGAACAGGATAGGTCTGAGGAACTGAAAGCCCCGAGTGGCTGGAAGACAGAGAGTGGAGGAAGCACAGTGAGAGATGAGACTATAATAGGACAATTTGTGCAATTACATTCAAAATTTGTTACTTTGGCCTCTAAAGCAAAACTACAGTGTAGACTATAGCAGTAAAATAAGTAATAAAGTATATAGCATGATCCTTTCCCATCCCAGATTCAGTTGCTTTTCACACGTAATTTTGTACTCTGATCCTGGTTCTGCCACTTGCCCTCTCTATATACCCATCCTCCATTCTTACACCTTGCATATCAGCCACTGTTTTCAGAGCAGGTAATTTTTTTGAGTAGTTTCTGTCTTTGTTCTTCATACATATATCAGCTGTGAGATCTTTTTCTTTGTTGAACAAGGCAGTGAACAAATGGGTAAACAGACTCCTGGACAATCGATGAAATGTAAATCAACTAATTTGGAAACCATAAAATATGTAGAATTCTACTGAAAGTCTATTTCTCTAAAAACAGATATCAGAGATTTTGGCAAAAGGAGCCGACAAGAAGTACAAAACAGCCAGAAAACAATGAACAAAATTGGCAGTAAGCACATACCTATCAATAATTACTTTAAATGTAAATAGACTAAATTCTCCAATCAAAAGACATAGAGTGGTTGAATGAAAAAACAAGGCACATCTATGTGCTACCTACGAGAGACTCACTTCAGATATAGGATACACAGACTGAAAGTGAAGAGATGTAAAAAGATATTATGTGTAAATAGAAACCAGAAGAAAGCTGGAGTAGCCATACTTAGACAAAATAGACTTTAAAACAAATACTGTAATAAGAGACAAAAAAGGGCATTACATGATGATAAAGGAGTCAATCCAACAGTTGTAAGTGTATTTACATTTGTAAATATTTATGCACCCAACATAGGAACACATAAATACGATCATCCCTCGGTATCCACATCCATGAATTCAACCAAATGTGGATCATAAACATAATGCACAATCTATGGTTGGTTGAATCCCCAAATGCAGAACCCATGGATATAGAGGGTCAACCGTATATAAAGCAAATATTAACAGACCTAAAGGGAGAAATAGACATCAATACAATAATGGTAGGAGACTTTAATACTGCACTTTCATCAATGACTGGATCATCCAGATAGAAAAATCAATAAGGAAACATTGGCCTTAAACAACACATTAGACCAGATGGACTAAATAGATATATACAGAACATTCCAACAGCAACAGAATATGCATTCTTCTCAAGTGCACATGGAACATTCTCCAGGATAGATCATATGTTAGGCCACAAAACAAGTCTTTGTAAATTTAAGAAGACTGAAATCATACCAAGCATCTTTTCTGACTGTAATGGTATGAAACTACAAGTCAGTTATAAGAAGAAAACTGAAAGAGTCACAAATATGTGGAGATTAAATAACATGCTATTGAATAACTAATGAGTCAGAGAAATCCAAAAATACCTTGAGATAAATGAAAGTGGAAATACAACATACCAAAACTTATGGGTGCAGCAAAAGCAGTTCTAAGAGGGAAGTTCATAGCAATGAATGCCTACCTCAAGAAACAAGAAAAATCTCAAACAGCCTAACTGTATACCTCAAGGAACTAGAAAAAGAACAACAAACAAAGCCCAAAGTTAGTGGAAAGAAGGAAACAGCAAACACCAGAGTAGAAGTAAATGAAATGGAGACTGAAAACACAATATAAAAGATTAGCAAAGCTAAGAGCTGGTTCTTTGAAAAGGTAAAATTGACAAATGTTTAGCTAGACTCACCAAGAAAAAAAGAGAGAAGACTCAAATAAATAAAATCAGAGGGGCCAGCCTGGTGGTGCAGTGGTTAAGTTCGCACATTCTGCTTCTCAGTGGCCTGGGGTTCGCTGGTTCGGATCCCAGGTGCGGACATGGCACAGCTTGGCAAGCCATGCTGTGGTAGGCGTCCCACAAATAAAAAGTAGAGGAAGATGGGCACAGATGTTATCTCAGGATCACGCTTCCTCAGCAAAAAGTGGAAGACTGGCAGTAGTTAGCTCAGGGTTAATCTTCCTCAAAAAAAAAATAAGTAATCAGAAATGAAAGAGGAGATGTTACAACTGTGCTACAGAAATGATCAAAGGCTCGTGAGACTACTATGAACAATTTTAAGCCAGCAAATTTGACAACCTAGAAGAAATGGATAAATTCCTAGAAACGTACAGCCTACCAAGACTGAATCATGAACAAATAGAGACGCTGAACAGACTGATTACTATTGAGAAGATTGAATCAATAATCAAAAACCTCACAACAGAAAGACGTCCAGGACCAGAGGGCTTCATGGGTGAATTCTACCAGGCATTCAAAGAATTAATACCAATCTTTCTGAAAATCTTCCAAAAAAGGTAAGAGGAGGGAATGCTTCCAAGCTCCTTTTATGAGACCAGCATTACCCTGATAACCAAAACCAGACAAGAATGCCACAAGAAAAGAAAATTACAGGCCAGTATCCCTGATAAACATAGATGCAAAAATCCTCAACAATACATTAGCAAACTGAATTCAACAATACATTAAAAGGATCATACACCATGATCAAGTGGGATTTATTCTGAGGATGCAAGGATGGTTCAGTACCCACAAATCAATCACTGTGATACACCACATTAATAAAATGAAGGATAAAAATTGTGATCATCTCAACAGATGCAGAAAAAGCATTGGACAAAATTCAATGTCCATTTATGATAAAAACTCTCAATGAAATGGGTATAGAGGGAACATACCTCAACATAATCAAGGCCATATATGACAAGCCCACAGCTAACATCATACTCAACGCTGAAAATCTGAAAGCTTTTCCGCTAAGATCAGGAATGAGATAAGGATGCCCACTCTCGCCACTCCTATTCAACCTAGTACTAGAAATCCTAGGCAGAGCAATCAGACAAGAAAAAGAAAGAAAGGCATCCAAATTGGAAAGGAAGAAGTAAAATTGTCTCTGTTTGCAGATGACATGATACTGTATATAGAAAACCCTAAAGACTCCAGTGAAAAACTGTTAGAACTATTAACGAATTCAGTAAAGTTGCAGGATACAAAATCAATACACAAAAATCTGTTGTGTTTCTATTCACTAATAATGAACTATCAGAAAGAGAAATTAAGAAAACAATACCATTTACAATTGTATCAAGAAGAATAAAATACCTAGGAATAAATTTGATTATGGAGATGAAAATTCTCTACACTGAAAACTATAAGACACTGGTCAAAGAAATTAAAAAAGACACAAATAAATGGAAAGATATTCCATGCTCTTGGGTTGGAAGAATTAATATTGTTAAACTGTTCATACTACACAAAGCAATCTACAGGCTCAATGCAATCCCTATCAAAATTCCAATGACATTTTTAATAGAAATAGAACAAAGCATCCTGAAATTCATATGGAACTACAAGACCCTGAATAGCCAAAGCAATCCTGAGAAAGAACAACCAAGCTGAAGACATCACACTCCCTGATTTCAAACTATGTTACAAAGCAATAGTAATCAAAACAGTATGGTATTGGCATGAAAACAGACACATAGATCAATGGAACAGGATAGAGAGCCTGGAAATAAACTCACACATACATGGTCAATTAATTTACGACAGAGGAGCCAAGAATATACAAAGGGGAAAAGACAGTTCTTTAATAAATGGTGTTGAGAAAACTGGACAGCCACAAGCCAAAGATTGAAACTGGACCACTGTCTTCACTGTACAAAAAAATTAACTCAGAATAGGTTAAAGACTTGAATGTAAAACCTGAAACCATAAAACTCCTCAAAGAAAACATAGGTGGTAAGCTCCTTGACGTTAGTCTTGGAGATAATTTTTTGAATCTGACACCAAAAGCAAAGTCAACAAAAGCAAAAATAAACAATGGGACGGCGTCAAACTAAAAAACTTCCTCACAGTGAAAGAAACCATCAACAAAATGAAAAGACACCCTACTGAATGGAAGAAAATATTTGCAAATCGTATATCTGATAAAGGGTTAATATCCAAAATATATAAAGAACTCATACAACTCAATAGCAAAAAAACAATTCTATGTAAAAATGGGCAGAAGATCTGAACAATATTTTTCCAAAGAAGATATACAGAAGGCCAACAGGTACATGAAAAGATGCTCAACTTCACTGATAATCAGGGAATTGCAAATTAAAACCACAATGAGATACCACCTCACACCTGTTAGAATGGCCATTATCAAAAAGACAAGAAATAAGTGTTGGCAAGGATGTGGAGAAAATGGAACTCTTATGCCCTGTAAGTGGGAATGTAAATTGGTGCAGCCACCATGGAAAACAGTATGGAGATTCCGCAAAAAAATTAAATCTAAAACTACTATATGATCCAGCAATTCCACTTCTGAGTATCTATCTGAAGAAAACGAAAACACTAACTTGAAAAGATAAATGCACCCCCATGTTCATTGCAGCATTATTTACAATAGCCAAGATGTGGAAGCAATCTAAGTGTCCATCAGTGGATGAATGGATAAAGAAAATGTGGTATATGCACAATGGAATATTATTCAGCCATAAAAAGAAGGAAATCTTGCTATTTGTGACACCATGGGTGGACCTTGAGGGCATTATGCTAAGTGAAATAACGCAGACAGAAAAAGACAAATGCCATATGATCTTACTTATATGGAATCTGAAAACAAACAAACCAAAAACCAGGCTCATAGATAGAAAAAACAGATTGGAGATTGCCAGAGGTGGGGGGGTGAAATGGGTGAAGGGGTCAAAAAGTACAAACTTCTAGTCATAAAATAAGTCATAGGGATGTAATGTACAGCATGATGAGTATAGTTAATAATACTGTATTGCATATTTGAAGGTTGCTAAGAGAGTAGATCTTAAAAGTTCTCATCACAAGAAGAAAAATTCGCGTAGGTATGTGTGGTGATGGATGTTAACTAGACTAACTGTGGTGATCATTTTGCAGTGTTTACAAATATGGACTCACTATGTTGTACACCTGAAACTAATATAATGTTATATGTCAGTTATACTTCAGTTAAAAAAGAGAGAGAGATACCTGCATATACTTGCATTTACCTCATAGCAGAGAGGAGAGATACTCAAGAAGAAGCGTGTTGAAGAAGAAGATGAGCACAGAAAGACTAGGCCAGAAAGGTGATGTGTAGGTGGCATTAGCAGGGGTCTATGTGGAGCAAGCAGGCAGACTGTTTTAAAGTAGGATTAACAACTTTCAGAGTCTGCTCTGTACTTCTATGGGCTTACTGATTGCCTTTCTTTTTTTAAAAAAATCTATTTGTTGAAATGATTTCTGCTAACCAGACACCCAACAGACAGATTTTTAAATCTCATGTCATTTTATTTATAACTGAGTATATACTTTCTAATAACTGAAACGTTAGTTTTGCAACCCAGGATGCCCTCCTCCTGGCCTCAGAGCATCAGAGTGCTAGCGGAACTAAAGCCACTGTAAGAGGCTTGATGAACACATTCAGAACACACACACAAAATAGGCAGTCTGGAGACCTGTGTTAGTCACAGAAGCGCCCTAATGAATTGTGCCTTCTCTGCTAGTGAGCTCACCTTTCTGATGCTCTGCTTCTAATGCTCTATTCTCCAAGTCTTCATGAATTTTTGGAGGTATGGCTGCAGAAATACAAATTCTTATCTCCTCTTTTATAATTCCATGAGGTTTATCCTTATATTTCTTTCATCTACCACTGCAACATTATTTATCCTCATTCCAATAGAATTCTGGACATGTTATAGTTTCTAAGCTGTTGATTTTCATTGACTGTCTGTGTGTCCATCTGCCCTTTGTCGTTGATTGGCAGTGCAGGCTGGCTGCCTCCTGCTATAATACAGGGAGGACCTACTCTCTGCATTTGCCGTGCCCAGGCCGCATGTGTAGAATGTTGGTCCTGGGAAAGGCTTCTGTGCACTGCTTTTCCTACGCAGGGCCTTAGACCGCAGGGCTCAGCCTTCTTTGGGCTGCCTTCATTTCTTTTCTTCTTTTGAGTGTATTTCTGGTTCTTTCAGACTCTATTAATGGAGGAGGACCCAGAAAGTCATTTTAGGTTGTTTCGAAAGACAAGACAGGTTCACTACAGTTTTTTAGCTCCTTTTTGGGAAAAGCAGTAGACCAAAGATAAATCTCATTTACTACCATCATGGTAAGTGTAATTATAATGAGAGTTTTAGGTTTTAGAGAAAGCAAAACAGTGAGAATATAGTTTAAGACAATTGTTTCTTTTCTTTTTTTTTTTTTTTTGATGAGAAAGAATGGCTCTGAGCGAATGTCTGTTGCCAAGTTTCCTCTTTTTGCTTAAGAAAGATTGTCCCTGAGCTAACATCTGTGCCAATCTTCCTTTAACCTTTTGTGTGTGAGATGCCGCCACGGCATGACTTGATAAGCAATGTGTAGGTCCACGCCCGGGATCCGAACCCACAAACCCCAGGCCCCTGAAGCAGAGCACACAAACTTAACCACTACACCAGTGGACCAGCCCCAGACACTTATTTCTTTTCACTGAATGTTTGTTGTCTTTTTTTCTTCTAGGAGTTTCACTGGCTGACCCGCTCTAATATTTAAATGAAGATGCCAATGAGTGGTCTTAAGGAGTTTTCTCTTTCCTGTAAGATGGAATTTTATTTCCCACAGCAAAATTACCTTAATGTTAAAATTCTTGTGCAAAAAGAAATAAAAACATTTCCAAATGACATTTTATAGTAAAGTAATTGGCTAAAAACAGAAAAATAATCAGTATTCTACCACAGAAGTAACCATTCACGGCTGAAAGAAGTGAGCGGGTTTTATTAAACGATAGCATTGCAGCTGCCTAACTTCTGAGTCCCACGGCAGTGTGCTTCTACATAAACCCTTTCTTAAGGTCACACATCTTTTAAAAATGTCTTCTGAAGAAAAAGGCTCCAAGAACTCTCTCATGCAGAGGCATGTTCAGGAGGCTGGAGTACGTGGGCTGTTGCTACTTCATAGTTTATCTGTTGACCACTTCATACCTTAGTCCCCCCAGTATTTAATGGGGCTTGTTCTGTACTTTATGAGTTGGGTTTTTATTTTGTTTTGTTTTCCTGGAAAGAACTTATTGAGCCAAAGGAGAAGTCACACCACATCCAAACTAATAATTTCCGGGTATATTTGGATTAGCAACCTTAGCTTGTGTGTACCCCATTGAGAGCAACAGAGTCAACAGCCTTAATATATAAAGAACTCTTCTGAGTAAGAAAAATGTTAATGCACTAATAGAAAAATGGGTGAGGACATGAATGTATGATTAACAGAAAAAATATAAATGGTCAGTAAAATTATGAGTATGAATAAATACAAATGTGTAAGTTAGACTGAAAAACCTTTTTTTGCCTATCCACTTGGCAAAGCACTTTCTAAATTATAATTTGCAACATGAGTGAGGGTGAAGTGAGATGGGCCCTGCTCGGCGGTGGTGGAAGCTGGAGTTTCTGCAGAGTAATTCTAGTCGTGCTTCTATTTGGAATCTTGAAAATGTTCATACCTCATACCTTTTGACTCAGTGAGCCTATTTAGAGAATGTATCCCAAAGAAGTAATGAAATATTTGGTCAAATATATATAAGGCCATTCAGCATAGTTTTATTTAGGAACGATGCCCCTGTTTGATAATAAGCCATGGGTTACACACATTATGATCTGTCGACATCATGAAACAAAAAATGGTGTTAAAGAACATTTATTAATGGAGAAACAATCACAATATAATATGTGAAAAGGCAATCTATAAAATGGGTGGGTCCAGATCAGAATATACATACATATATACACATACATACACACGTACACGGAGAAAAAAGATGGGCCCAAAATAAACCAAAGTTTTAGTATAACTTGATGATAGGATTATAGGTAATTTTTATTTCTGCTTTATTTTTTCCCTTCTTTTACAAAATTTTAAAATCAAAATAATGATGTAATTTTCGTTATCAGAAACACTATTTTAAAAGAATATTAGAAATGGAAAAGTATCACTTATTTTCAGGGTCATTCTTGTTTATTATCTGCAGTTTTATATGAATTGGAGCATAGGCCTTTATATCAAAGCTCAACTTGTTGCACTGTCTACATCAGGCTTGTCTCCACTGGATGGTAAGGGGCACACGTGACCTCCACACCGGGGCGGACTCCAGCTTTGGGATGTGAACCTAGCAGATAGTTGCAAGGAGCTCGGGTTTTATCCGAGAGGCCCCTGAAGTTGGGCCCAGTTGGCAGGTACTCCTGTGTACCTCTAAGCTATACACTAGAGAGCCTGGGCTGCGTAAGAACAGAGGGAGTATCACACCGAGTGTCAAACAAGTGTCAAAGTGGGGTTGAGAGTGGGTAGCTCCTGTACCCTCACCAGTGTCCCGCTCTGCCCGTGGAGGCTTGCCTCTGGCAGCCAAGTGTGGTACAAGATTTCACTGTAAGGTAGTGTGGAGGGCTTCATGAATATTTGTGAATTGAACTCTCGAAATCTAAATACTAGGTACGATCTGGGGAAAATGCTCCTTCCCTAGCCATATTATCTCAAGGGAAAAAACAGTGTTGGTGGGTTAATAGATTGTCCAGCAGAGGTCAGTGGGAGCATATAAAGTCCGGATTAGTCCAGGAGCACTTTGTTGACGCTGTCTGCTGACTGCTTAGTTTGTAAAAGTGATCTTGAAGTTAGTCTCCGTAGGAATTTTTCCGTAGAAGCAGAAGATACTGAACGAGCCCCTCTAAAATGAATCTGTTGGTTGGTAGTCAAACTTACTTGGATAAAACTTTTGCACCTCCCAGTTTAAGAATGAACACTCTTATGTGATCCTGGGATGTGGAATACTCGAGTGCCTCATAAAAACTGAACTTTGAAAGATTATGGTTGTTTTCTTGATTTAGGAAAACTAAGAATCCAGGGTGGGAAATGACTTCTTAGGGCTGGTTCCTCTACTAATATTCTTTCACAGTCTCTCACACTTCATGGGGTTGCTTGGGGATTCACAGAGCCATCCAGAAGCTCCTAGCTCAATGCCTGGCGTGTAGAAGGTGTTCAAAAAATGCCGCTGTGCGTTAGGAAGATGCTGCTTTAGAGAAGAGGAGAACACTGGCTGGAATTATGACCTGTTTAGCAGTGTAGTTTCACTTTTCAAGTAAGTGGATCTTAAGTCCCCAGGTTGATTCATCATTTCCTGGAAAAGAAGGGCTGTGTGTTTCCACTTCCTTACACAGCCACCTGCTCTGCAGGGCTTTACTAAGTAATAGTTGAAGTATAATTCATGATGGTTGGAAGGAGCTCAGTGGATATTTTCTGTTTATTTCGCACATGCCCCTTAGAAGCATATAAGCTCAGCTTATATGAGGTGAGTTTTCCTGAGAAAAAAAAGTCTCAAATCTCTTACAAAGAACTATTAGGACTTTTGAACCCCAAAGGGAAATGAAGATAGCATTAAATCTAAAAATAGTTTTCTTCCTTTGCTATTTTCAAGACACTTAGCTAGGCAGTAGGGAAGCAGTACGTTCCAGTGAAGAAGTGGCATGTGACTAAAATAAATGCAAACTTAGAGTGACTAGGATAGAATTTCATAGGAAGAAAGTTGGAAACCAGTTAAATTCCACATGGGAAACATGGCTGAATAACTTTGATAAAACTGACTCTGCCAACTGCTGTGGAGAGTGACATGTATGCAGAGGGAGTTTGAGTCAGCTGGGTTTTCTGGTTGTGTTTGCTGCTGCTAGTCTGAGAATGGAGTACTATGGATAAAGAGAGTTGAGGATCCTGTGAATTCCTCCCAGAGCTCCAGTGCTCGTAAAAGTACACCTCGGACTCACATCTGACAGGCAGGCCTGCCTACACCCTGGTTTTCACTGGATTTTCTGGGATCTCCCCTCCCCTCCGAGGCCTTCTCTTTCAGGAGAGGGGCTAGCTGGTCGGTGAACCCATGGTGAATCCAGGTTGTATGGGTACCCGTCCAATCTGGGAGCAGAGGAAGACACATCTAGAAACTCCTGGATCTCCAGTTTCAGAGTTTGAAAGGAACACTTTACATTCAGGCTTAGACCTGGAAATACCCACAGAGAGATGGCATCATCCATGATCTCCTTCCTTCTATCCAGTGGTCACTAGAGCCAGCTCTGTGGAGTGGTTCATCTCCAGCCATATGGTTCATCTCGAGGCTCCTTCCCTGGTCCTGGCATGTTCCCAGGAATTGCCTCCTCGCTCCACTGGTCACGGTGGGCTCGGGAAATCAGAGCTGGTCTCCCCTTAGCCTGAGCTTTGCTCATGCCATTTCCACTGCAGTGCTCTGTGCCCTCCCACCCATTTTTGTCATGTGGAATCAGACATATCCTTCACGATCCAGCTCAAAAGTCACCTCTTCCGTGAAGCTGTCCTGCCTCCCTGTGTGTGCCTCTGTCAGTGCTCACGATGTTCATACTGAACTGAGTTCCTATCTCCCTCCCCAACTCGACTGAGTGCCTGTGTACCCAGATGTCAGCCACTCCTCGTCTACCAGGGCCTGCGTCCTCTTGCTCCTGTTTGGCCAGCTCCTTTGTGAGTTCACCCCTGAAGAGTTCACTTCCACATGGCGTATAGCAATATAAACATCATGGACATTTGCTTGTGGGCGAGGTGACCCGGGGGGGTTTGTATCACAAAAGCTGCAGCAAACAACTTCAGACAGGATGTAGGGTAGATAGATGAGTTACCAAGGATCAGAAACCCACTCGAGGCCTGGGTATTGGGTGAACCCGACAGTTCTTAGAGCATATGGGGGTTGGGGGTTGGGGCCATGAGGCCCTGACATGACTGAATTTAGTTTCTACACTGGTAAAATGGAAGTCAAAATTAAAACTGAGTAACTAAAAATGAATATTTCTTTCATACTTGAGTGCTGTGTGTGGACTGAAATTTATGTCCACTACATTCATAAAACCATTTCATAATTCATAGTGCCATCCCTGCCACCCCACCCTCCATCAGCCGCTCCATCTATCCCCTTTCCCCACCACCCTCCCTTCATTATTCTTTTCCAGAATTTTCTTGGTTATCTTCACTTGATTATTTTTTCATATTAACTTTAGTAGCACAAAAAAAATCTGGTATTTTCATTGGAGTGTGTTTTGAAATATAGTGTACTAATAGAAAAACTTGAGGTTCAGTAAGCCTAACAGATCAGGAAATGATTGCTATTGGAAGGATAGTTTCTTATTCCCTGTTCCCAAGAGGAGAGGTCATGCCACACCACGCAGGGCCAAAGGAGAAAATGCCAAGATTTGACTCAGGCCTAGATAGGAGAACTAGTGGGTGGAAGCATTTATTGTGGTTTCCTCAGGAAGCAAGAGGTGAGGCAAGATCAACAGGTTTAGGGTTCGCTAGTTTGAATAATTTCCATGGGCTGGGGTGTAGGGGCTGCCCCTGGTTGTCTGGTACATGGCCCTGGGGTGATTAGGCAGGGGGCTAGAGGTCCCGAATGTGAGAGTCCATAAGGAGTGTGATAAAGAGGGAGGTTGGCATATGGGCTCTGGATTGGTTGATTTGCATGTGAAAGGCGAATTGTTTGCTTTCTGGGAATTAGCTAACCTGGGAGGGGCAGCCCCTCCAGGGTCAGCAAGGCCCCGGTTGTAAAAGCATCAGAAAAGAAAAGAAAAAGACATGGTTACTACAGAGTGGCATTAAATGGATATTTATAACATAGTCATATACATGTTAAACGAA